TCTCTCTCTCTCTCTCTCTCTCTCTCTCTCTCTCTCTCTCTCTCTCTCTCTCTCTCTCTCTCTCTCTCTCTCTCTCTCTCTCTCTCTCATCGGAAGAATAAGAAGAAGAAGGAGAATAATGGCTATGGACGGTCGGAGAAGAAACAGGGAGTAGAAGAAGAAGAGACGACGATCTCTCCTCTCTCTCTCTCTCACCTGCTGCTACTCCTGATGCTGACGAAGCCTCACCAGCGAAGATGGTGGCTCTTCTAATGCAGGTCGCCTGAATGGAGTCCAACTATGGCGCCCATGTATATGTCACCTCTCCTCGCGGCTAAGGCTCACCAGCCACTGCGCTCCTGCTACCTCCTACTACTCCTCTCCGCCTAGTCTAGCGCAGCTCAACTCCAACCGGCGCTACTCTCTAGCAACATGTCAGCCAAGGACTGCTCCACCCTAATGTCTCCAAATTGGAGGACTGGCCCAGCTATATAGTACCGCTGGGCCTGGCTGAGCTCGCCCCGATCTGCGATAACGACCATCCAATCTAGTATTCGATTGATGGTCCTGATCGCAGGCCCAAGTCCTGGTCGTATGATCCTGGGCTACCACGGCCTGCCTGTCCCTACCGGAACATCCAGGCAACCGAGCAGATGCTGCAGGGTCCTGAGGACTGGGCCAGGCACAAACGGACAAATGCCTGGTTCACTCCCAGATGCAGACAAATATGAACCTGGCCTACTACAGCGAAAATTGAAATCCACTGGTTCGAACAGGTACCTGTTCGGACAAGAGAGAAAGTCTGAAACGACACATCTTGAACAGACAAAAATAGACCAGACAAAACTCAGCCCCCAACTCACTCAACAAAAATAAATAAATAAATAAATGTTGAATAAAAGAAAAGCAGGGGTCTGGTCCCATATACCGTTGTTGAGTTAAAAAAACTTAATAAATTCGAAACAAGAAATTGAAAAACTGAAAAAAAAAAGAAGCCAGAAACAACTTTTCTCCTTATTTCTGATAACGTAACTCGGAGAAATGAAATTTGTCTAACTCAGTTGGTAAGGCACGCAAGTGGCATTCAGGAGATCGTGGGTTCAATCCTCATTGGCCTCATGTACCTTCCTGGCCATGCTTGGCGCCCGCCACCTAGAGATAGACCACAAGATCCCCCGATCGGCATTGAGCAGAGTCTGCTGATGTTCACAGGTGAGGGGACCACCACCGGAGGGGAGGCACAGGGATTGGTCCTGTTGGCATGGTTCCTGGTGCTACTGCCTATCCCCTAGGTCGGGAGCAGCCCCCGCATGTTCTCTCGTGTAACACGGTTCTGGCTGCTACGGGGTTCCCGTATGCCTACAATTAGGAGTAGTGGTAGGTAGGTAGTGTG